TCCAAAGCGACTTACAGTGCATTCAGGCTATACATTTTTTACCAGGATGTGTTCCCTGGGAATCAAACCCACAACCTTTTGAGCTGCTAACACAATACTCTGCCATCTATGCAGTGGAAGTCAATGGTGTTCAGAGATGTTTTGGACCCAGCTTTCATTGTATTTCATTGTACAAAAAGAGTTATATACATATTTTGTGTTCCACTGAAGACAAAAAGGCCTGCCACGTTTGGAACGACCCAAGTAAATAATGACACAATCTACATTTTTGTGTGAACAATCACTTTAGTCTCCTGAGCTCTGAGCTATTTATAGAGCAATCTTCTGATGTAATAATAGAATTATGCTTTTATATTTTCTATATTATGATTGAAACAACCTGAAACGGAGTGAAATAAGGGAGGGACACAGATGTCTTCCTGTTGAAACATATGTGACTCAATGAGTATCTGCTGTTTTGATTTGCTCTCTTCAGTTAATAATTACACCGCGGTCCTTGACCTGAAGGTGAGGAAAATGTTTTTTCCCCCATTTTTTTTGCCAACTGTCCACCAGATAAAAAGCCAATATATACCAAAAGTTTTCTTCATGCAGTTCAAACAGACTTTGATCAGAGACACTGATTAAATTAAGATGACAGATGCCTAAGACCAAATAATCACGTTTCTCCTCCTCTAGGATTAGATCTTTGTGATAAAGTTTTCTCTCATGTATAAATGAACAAAATGGCTATTTTCTAATGGATGAGTGTTGTTCAAAAGAGCATGGTTAGGACATATGATTTTCTTATCTTTGAACCTGTCCGTGAGAAACATGTCTTGGCTTCTTATCATGTTCAGATTTAAAGCAGGAGTATACTATCTTGCCCTGTCATTTATGTGTGTTTGAACTTTGATTTAATTTCAGTGAGCACCCCTAATTTTGCTGATTTATTGCTGATAATCACTCACAATGGAAACCAATCAAAAATGCGGGGATGGACTGACTGGCATGCAGAAAGAGACTGCGCTGCGCACTCTGATCCAGCGCACAGGATATCACATACACCAGGTAATAGTTACCACAGCCTCAGGTAACAGGACAGGTGCCACAGTGGGATTATGGAATAGGAACACTTGCTTAATTCGACTCTTACTTGAGACAGAAATTCGGTGTTGCTGTTCCATAAGATCCATTTCTTTGATGTTTTCATTACTGGAGATATATCCGTGTGGTTGTCTTCAGTAGTTTTTAGTATGTAATATAGTGGCACCATAATGTGGTGAAAATGGAAAAACTCCTACCTTTCCATCTATGAAAAAAGTAGCATATGTCTATGGATCAGTACAATGACTTGTCCATTCTTAAGGTCTACTGTATAGTAGTAGCATATGCATTTATGGTTTTACTTAGTCCACATCTCAATGTGCATGTTAATTTGTGATAAATTAGAGAGTCATCACAGATGTTTTCTCCGTAGGAAAACGGCCAGAGGAGATATGGTGGTCCACCTCCTGGCTGGGAAGGCCCACCTCCAGAGAGAGGCAGTGAGATTTTTGTGGGAAAGCTTCCTCGAGACCTCTTTGAGGATGAACTGGTGCCGCTCTGTGAAAAAGTAAGGGCAAAGTGATAAACTGTAATCATTTCAAATAAATGAATAATGAATTTAACAATTAAGCCTGTTCCCGCAACTGAAAATGTATTTGCTTTGATATTTCATAACGTAACTTTTTTATTTTTACAGTATTTTTACTCTGGGGTATAAACAGGCTTCCTTCGATATTTCAATGTGGTGTAGCCTTAAAACTGTTACACTTACCTGTCTTTGCAGTTTGGCAAAATTTATGAAGTACGAATGATGATGGACTTCAGTGGCAACAATCGAGGCTATGCATTTGTTACCTTCTACACAAAACAAGAGGCTAAGAATGCCATGAAACAGCTCAACAACTATGAAATCCGGTGAGTCATTGTTTAAACTAGACATCTTGTAGACAAAGCATAACCAAAAAAACTGATGGAAAATTCTTGCATATCTTCACACAGGAATGGAAGACTTCTTGGTGTGTGTGCAAGTGTAGACAACTGTCGTCTATTTGTGGGGGGGATTCCAAAGACCAAAAAGAGAGAAGAGATCCTGGCGGAGATGAAGAAGGTGACGGATGGTGTCATGGATGTCATCGTTTATCCAAGTGCTGCTGACAAGACCAAGAACCGAGGTTTTGCATTTGTCGAGTATGAGAGCCATAGAGCTGCTGCCATGGCCAGGAGGAAACTGCTGCCAGGTAACACCCGATACAACGAATAATTTAAGCTACATCACATTATATATTATACCAATTGTCTTATCTAAAACCACTCACACTTCTGCTTCAAATGTACAGACGTTTATTGAAAGCAATCGTCAGTTTCCGGAGCCAGACAAGATTTGAATGATTTCCTACATGTTGAACTCATGTTGAGTCCAAAGATACTTAGTTCATTGCCCAAAGA